CCCGCCCCGCCCCGCCCTGCAGCTCAAAGTTCAAGGGCGCGTTGCTTTGGAGGGCGTTGCTTTGCATTTCAAGCCGACGTGCCGTTGAACTCTCGGCCAACCGACCCCCAGAGAGGAGTCTCTTCTTTCATACCTCCTCCGCGCGAACTTAAGACCATTTCAGACCTCGCAGAGCCAAGAGGAAAGAATCCAGGCGAGGGGATCCCTTAAGCCGTGAGCCAAGCTCAGACTCGCAGGGGCAAGTGCGGCAGAGAGAGAGAGGCACTGCGCAGTGTGATTGACAGACAGGAAAACACAAGCACGTGTAAACGAAGAGTGTGAACAGAAAAAGCACGCGAGAGGAGGGGCAGGGAGAGAGAGAGAGAGAGAGAGCGAGAGCGAGCTGGAACACAATATCTGCGATTATTGCAAGAAGGAGGCATGGGAATTGGCACGTTCTCTTCTCCCCACTCAAGTGCTAGCGGTCTGAGCTCCGCCGCAAACCACGCCACGTGGATATCGCAGCACTGGATAAAGCTCTCCAGAACGTCCAACCTCAGCAAAGAAATGCAATGTGTACACTTTCGTGAGTTTCTGAGGATCACATCTGTGCCAGAACTGCGCACTCAATGCGATCAGCTCTGAGTGCGAACTGCACTGCGGCGGAAGCGAGATTCAAGACATGGCCATCTAGCTCGACCTGCGATTCGTTCCAACAAGGGCCCCTTTTCATGTTGCTCGCCATGTCTTTACACCTTGCTCCCACCTGCAGCTCTGCAATGCCTCCACCCAGGCTCGCGTCCCAAAGGGCATCAGGCCTGCGTGGTAGGGCCACATGGGCCACATGGTGGGCAGTTTGTTAACTCGGCTCTGGGAAAGCTGCTGGTAGAGTTTGCAGTAAGCGCGGGCAAAGCCTTCCTGGCAGCGAACGCCCTCAAAGGCCCCTTGACCCCTTGCACGCTTGCCCTCGTCCTGAAGCCGCAGGACCCGCTGAGTCGACGTCGCTTCTGGAGGCCTCCGCGCCCGGAAGGGATCAGAAAAAAACTGCGAGAAACCGATGCCGAGACCTTGAGAGCTCCACCGGGACCTGAGATGGGCCAAGACTGGGCCAAGACTTTGAGAAACAGCCCCCTCCCCCCCCCCTCTTTTCCCTTTTCAGGCTTCGGGCCGAGAAGATGTGGCGGGCCAGGACGGAGCAAAGGGTGGCATTGTTGCTGCACAGGTCCAGCCTTGCCATGAGGCGACTTCGAAAGCGCCGTCAAAAGCGCATTCGGGCGCGGGAGCAAGGCAGCTGGCCCGGGAAGTCCGGCTAATCCGCTTACTTCGGTCTTCCGGTTTCTGAGTTTGGGCTCGCAGCCTGGGAACAAAGAATCCTTCTACTCTGCATCGTTCACAGGCAAAGTCCCTTTTGGCCCAAGCGCCCCCTTGCTCGCAAGGAAGACCGGCGACTCTGACTCCAACTGGGGGGGTGGCAAGGCGGAAGATGAAAGCCGCCTGTCCTGGACGCACTGCATCAAGGCTTCCCACATCGATGCCTCAGTGTCCGAGGTCCGATGATCTGCACAGTCTGCACATGTTGCGACATGATGTGCTCCGACATGTAACATCTTGCGACATGATGTGACCTTTTTCCGAGCGACGCTTAGGTGGGAATGTAGGACGCTCGTACTGTCGTCATCTTCGTCGTGAATCATGAGGAGGAGGTCATCGAAGATCTCTGCAACCGACTCCAGACAAGCTCTCCTAAAGGGTAGATCCGTTCTGTATGTGTCAGGACTCACTGTGTGACTGTGTATCCGTGTTAAGTGCAGTAGAAGCTCCCACATTCTCTGGCACCCTGCAAAGCAATCGATGAGGCCGAAGAAGGATCCGCGTCAGCTTGCAGATTCTGTGGCCTGATCTTCTTCCTGGGAAAAGGATGGAAGGCGCGACTTTATGCACGAGAGTCAGAGTCTTCTGTCAGCCGTGTCACCACTCATGCGGAGGATCTCCCTCCTTCAAGCACACCTCGGAGCTGTGGCTACGCTGCCTTCAACGTCGCGGCTTCGCGGCTAAGGCCCAGGACGGCGAAGCGGCCGGTCTGCGCATGGAAGTGCTGTACCACAGCGTGGGCCTCAACTGACGGCTCCCGGCTCCCTTTCGCTCTGTGAGCCAAGACTAAAGGACAGGAGCAGACGGTGAATAGGAGCTAAGCCACCAAGAAGACGCTGCGAGCAGGCAACATGCAGAAGGTTGAGCCTTCTGCATCTGAGGCGCAGAAGTCTGGAGTGGCTCTTTAATTTTGCGGAGATGTACCAAAACCACGGTGAGGTCCCCGGCAAGTCAGTGGGTTTGGCCAACACAACAAAAGAAAGAATTGTGATCTTGTCTTGGGAAGAGCAGGAGCACAGGGGAAGGAGTTGGGAAGCCCGAAGAAGATCCCGAAAGCCAGATCCAGTAAGAAAAAAGGCTCTGCAAAGGCCATGGGTTCTTCTCGTCTGGGCTTCCGGCGCCGTTGAGCTGCTGCCCCAAGGCCGTCTGCAAGCCGATCAGCATCACACCCTGGAGTCCAGGGCTTCAGTTTTCACGAGTTTTGGCTGAAGGTGATAAGGGTATAGGACCTATAGGATAGGCCGAAAGGGCTTCGTCTCCACCTTGCAACAGCGTACCGCTTACGAGATGCAACTGGCTAGCTAGGCTGTCTTGTGCTACGACCAGAAACTCGATCTGCTCAAGCACGCAACGATTCCGGCAGAAATTGTCTTTGACCAGCTATCACATGTGCAAAATACCCAGGGCTGCGTTCTCCCCACTTCGCCCAGAATACGATCAAACACGCTTCTCCGACCACGAAGGCTACCTTTCTCAGGCCAGTTTTCGACTCCCCACCAAGCACCACCCAGCTCGGATCACAGATATTGGCGGTGTCCAAAAATAGGGGACCCGAATATAGTACCCCAAATAGTAGGATCCCCCTATTATAAGGACCCCAAAATGAGGTACCCCTAATTTTCGGAAACTCCCATATGATCAGACACAGGCAACTTCTTCAGAACGGCAGCTACCAGACCCAGAAAGCACACATCGCGGAATCCTCCGACCGATCACACCAAACAGCTATTCAACCATTCCTGCCGATTCCAGGAAAGCTTTCTTCATGTTTCTTTCAGCTGCCACGCATACAAGAAAAAACAAAAGAACACATTGCATCTATCGTCTACCACAGACACGCACAAACACCCAACTATGCCAGGACAGTTCTCCGACCACAAATGCTACGACGACAATCAAGCGTGCAATAAACGGAGGCTGTTTCTCTGACAATGTACAAAACGCACTATACTGCTGGGACAGTATGAGTTTCTGCATGCAAAATCCACAGGAAAGATCTCTCCAATCACAACACGAGCAGACAGCAAAACTTTAACACAAAACTACTCCAGGACAGCTTTCTCCTACGACAACCACTGGCAGAAGCGAAACACACCGGGACAGTTTTCCTTGACCACTTACCAATGTAGTACAAAACAGTTCCAAGGCAGTTTGCCTAACAAGCGCACAAAACATCTAGGAGAGACTCCTCCGACCAAACGTGAACAACCCCGCAACTATTCTAGCAGGTTTCTGTGACCCAGCGTCGGTAGGGGACCGCCCTGATAAAGAGAGTACAAACAACAAACATAACTCCACCACAAGTCGACTGTAACGAAAATCATCTTTATAAGTTCAGGTGCAGTGTGATCCGTAACAAGCCCGATTCTAGCCTACTGAGGAAGGTGTGAGAGCATACCATCTCGGGCAGAAACTGTCTTTCTGTGGGAACACCAACAACCCAAATGTTACGTGTGGTGAGAGATGCTTCCGAACCTGGCCAGGCACCAAGAGGTCGCACACAGAGCTGAAGGCACGAAGAGCCGCTGCCAACGACAGGAAGCAGCCGTGGTAGCAAAGAGCGCGGGAAGGCCAAGGAAGCTCCTTAAGGAACCACACGCTGGCTCTGAGAGCTCCTAAAATATTGATAGTCGCCATCTATCCATCCATCCATCCATCCATCCAGCCAGCCAACCTATTTATCCATCATTTGTCCTTGTATCTAGGTATCGATCGATTCGTCTATCTATCTTTCTTTCTGTACATGCATGCATGCGCAGATACATGCATTCTTACCTTGGTTCATACATACATACATACATACATACATACATACATACAGGTCCGTGCGTGGAACTGGGTTATACCATTCACATGCACAGTACGCGTATGTAGGCGTATGTAGGGGTGTGTATATATATATATATATATATACATATATCTACACAAAAGTTCGAGCGCAAGCTCTGGTAGACTCAATTTCGGAGGCCGCCAGGACTTCATTCTTAGCCAGGTCTCGGAGGCATCCAGCAGGCGAAGCGTATGCACCAGAGCCTCAAACTGATGCGAAGCAAGCAATTTGGGACTTCGAGTTTTGACATTTTTTAGAATTCAGGGTGCGGAATTTGCGGTATCAAGTTGTGGATGTTTACCGTCACAGCTTATCATAGATGCACGCTTGTCTAGTTGTATATGTACACCTACAGAGAGAGACTTACACAGAGCGAGAAAGACGATATACAAAACGACAGATAGATCGATAGATAAGATAGGTCGATAGACAGACGAGATACGCAAGATAAGATAAGGCAAAGATAACGCTGAAGATAGAAGTGTAAGCTACCCCCCTTAAAGATCTATGTTGTTTTAATACTCTTTGCTGTGCTTTTACGGCTTAGAACTTAGACAGTCTACCAACAATAACCCGAAACAACAACCTCTTAAACGTTACACTCAGAGCTTACACACCGAAAGCCCCTCTGGAAACCTAATCTCAAGCAGTCAGCCCGAAAGCAACCCCTGAAAGCTAATCTAAAACAGTTAGCCCGAAGGCCTCCCCGAAAACTCATCTAAAACACTTCGCCCGAAAGCCAACAACAACTAAAGTGACGAGCATCCGTAGATCACCTGGGATGTAGGGTTTCTTTGTTTGCGCAGGGTTTAAACAAACGACGCTCATGATGCTCTATGGGGGGTGCACCCCGCTTACAACCTGAAGTCCTGCACTGGGAGCCCTTTTCAGTACACTCGCAGATTCAGTACGCTCGTATATACCACACGTCTTTCGATACCGTTTGGCACGGCATCTGACTGTACACTTGGTCTAGCAGATCCGTCATTCGCGGAGGAGTCTCAAGTGACAGGCATATAACCATGCTTGTGCAGACTTCCTGGTCAGTATCGGGTATCTTGCTCTCTTCGCCTCACGACAGCAGCTAGCAGCTGAAGGTCTCGTACTGGAGGATAAGGCGGCTCTACCGGTCTAGACGAAGCAACATCTCGCTGAGGTGGAGGCTGAGGTGGCTCTACCGGTGTAGACGAAGCAACATTTCGCTGAGGTGGAGGCTGAGGTGGCTCTACTCGCACAGAGACAGCTGATCTAACTTCCTGACGCCCAACAGGTAGTGGGGCTTCATGTGGCAGTGACACGGGTGATCTAAGCGCCCAACAGGTAGTGGTGGACGGATAAAGGGTCTTCCTGGAACCATTGGCACTCTAGCGAGTCTTCCGAGAGGCAACGGTAGCAGAGAGGGTACTGAGGATCGTCGAGCCGCTTGTGTCACATATCCGACTGGAACTGTAGCTACAGGACCAACAGGCGGCTCAGGTACTTCTGCATTCTGTGAGTTCGGTGGCGGCTTGTATTCGCGAGAAAAGGCGCCTATGGGCATCATCGGAGTTCCGGGTGTCGACATGGCTCAACGAGGAAGTCTTGGTTGCTTTAGGACTATACGGTAGCATCCTGTCCAGTTTCGGGTTTAGGGTTTAGGGCGTCCCTGAACTCTTCCTCCCAGTGCAAAACTTGAGCCAAACTACTGCAGCTTTGTGCTTTGTCCCGAATGTTCCCTGTTGAACATAAGCTCGAGCTTGGGGCCAGACCTCCTGCGACTGCTCATGGTTTTTGTTTATCCATGCATATATAATCATATATACATATAGATTCGCACATTTTTGTAAACACCTATACATTGTGGGATCCGGGGCTTTTGTTCAGTGTTGAGGCTAGGAGAACGAAGGTTCAAAGATGATGACGATGATCATGATGGAGATGACGGCGACGACGATGGTGATGATGATGATGATGATGATGCTTGTTATGATGGGAGTGATGGGGTGCGTGCTTGTGGGTCCATGCCTGTGCACGTTTGGTATACAGATGTTCCATGCCGTTCTCGGTAAAAGACAAAAGTTTGTGTTGCACTCCCAACATAAATGTTTTGTTCCTTTACCGAGAAGACCGTGCATTCATGACGGTTGTTGACTTTTCCTTTTCCTTAATGGCGAGCTGCTCGATGTTGTCATTCTTCTTGTCGTCAAGAGCGAGATGCTTCACGCCAATATGGCTCCGCCCCACGGAAGGCCACATTGGAATATTGATCCACATTGAATTTCAATATGCGGATCCAAGATCCAAGATTGCACAGGGCTCCTGGCAGGAATCTTGGATCTTGCAATGGTGTCCTCAAGAGCGAGATGCTTCACGCCAATGTTAATATGGCTCCGCCCCACGGAAGGCCACATTGAAAAAGTGAGCCACATTGAATTTCAATATGCCGGATCCAAGATCCAAGATTGCACAGGGCCCTTGGGAGGAATCTTGGATCTTGGATCCACCATATTGAAATCATGAGGCCATATTGAATTTCAATATGGTGTACCCAAGATCCAAGATTGCACCGGACTCCTCCCAGGAGTCCGGTGCAATCTTGGATCTTGGATCCGGCATATTGAAACTCAATGCGGCTCAATATTTCAATGTGGCCTTCCGCGGGGCGGAGCCATATTGAAATATTGAGTCGCATTGGGTTTCAATTCGGCTGGTTTGTGCGGATCGTGAGTGAAAAGATGTCCATGAGGAGCTGAAAAAAGTAACTGAGTAGCACCAGGAGATGCTTGTCAGTGGGAAGAGCTGACAACAGTCAAAAAGCATGGCATGTGAGTGGGAAGAGTTGGAAACAGCAAAAAAGCATAGATCTTGGGGGATACCATATATATGTATGTATGTGTGTATACATATATATATATACAGAAGTATCCGATTTAATGTGCCTTTAAATTTATGTTGTTGCTTGACCTTCAACCTACTTGCCAAGTGGACGTCCCCCATATATCCCAGAAGCGCAGCCCTAGACCCGAAAGCCGCTGACAACCCTCAAATGGAAGCCTGAATAATGTAGAGGCCTTAATAATTAGCATAGGGTTTGGGGGTTGCTTATTATGATAACATGAGAATATGCCCCAGACCTTATTCTTATTACTAAGGCCCCTAGGATAGTATGATCTACTGTGCGAAACTCTTTCTTAGGCCTTCTTCCTATGACTACAGCAAGATCCTCCTCAAACTTTGAAGACCGTTGCTAACCCTAAACGCTAAACCTGCACATGACAGCAATCCCAAAAGCCCAAAGTTCCAAAGCCTCAAGGCCTAAAGCCCTCGGCCTGAAGCTCCCCAAAAAGTTTCAAAA